GGCTAATATCCGACGCAAGCCTGCCCGTTTCGGGGCCCACGTCGCGCCACTCTTCCCAAGGCATAATAATATAGACGTCTCGTTAGCCGTCGCGCACCACCGGCCCATCCATAGAATTGGTTTTAGGAGCGTGCATCGGTAATGAGCCAGCCAGAGAGCTTCGTTTCTCTCGATGCCGCGATTCAACCATCATCCATCATGTTCTTCGTTCTCATTGGCTTTGGTTTTTGTTAATTGATCGCTGATATTGTTCGGGATGCACCCGTTTTGTACCGAAGACGGAGGATTCTTCCCTGGTTTCTGAGGTTTCACGAGGTTTTCTCTATGTTTGAGGGAGTTTGGCTGGGTTTGATAGCGTTGTACGTAAGCTTATAGCGACGAATAGCAGATTCCTTCGATCTTGGTAGACTTCCTGTGATGATTAGAAGCGACTAGCTTAGAAACAAATGGGCAATTCGATAGACTTACAAAAGATTCTACGTATACCGACCTACCAGAGGCAAAGACTGATTTGTTATTGTTTGAAGCAGAAGCATCTGGCCAATAGAGACCTCCAAAATTACGTCGATCAAGCAACTTTCAGGCCAATTTCCCCTAAGTGCTTCTCAAAACGGACGCATCCCAGGTGTCCTTACCACAGACTCTTCCTCGAGATCTCTACAATCATCATTCATATTAACCTTTACCCCAATCCTCCCTTTCCAACCTCCTAAACATCGCCAATCTGTCTTCGAGTTTCTTCAAACTCGTTCCAACCTCTTCGAACTTCTCTTCGAGGTTCTACCAAAGAAACCAAAGAGGCGATATTATCTGTAAGGATCGAAATACGCGTGTCCAGATTCGAATTCTCCAAATCTTGATTTACATCACAATGATTCTCAGCTCGAATTCGTGTTCGCTCATGCTCGCTATCTCATAGAGATGGTATCGTGTGAAGTGAAAAAGAAACAGTCACCCAGTGTACACGCGGAAAAGGTGGAGGAACCAGCGTAGGGAGAAAGTATGGCGCAGGAGGAAGGGGGGCTGGTCATGAGCGAGAACAAGAGCAAGAACAAGAGAAGCAGGTAGGTCGTAACGTGGCGCACGGAGCGTCTGGGGCCCACGCTCGGCCGCGCCGCGAC